ACTGGCGGTTTGAAGCTCAAGTGCAGCGCCTGGGCCCTGCTGGGGTTTATCCGCTTGACAGGGGCATACTACATGCTTCTGGCCACAAAGAGAAGCCAGGTGGCCATGCTAGGCGGGCACTATGTTTACCAGATCGACGGGACTGAGTTGATCTCCCTGACGACGTCGAATTCAGCACGTGCCAAACCGGAGAAGAATCCAGAAGAGGCAAGGTATATTGCAATTCTGAACAATCTCGACTTGACGCGCTCCTTTTATTTCAGTTACTCTTATGACATCACCCACACGCTGCAGCACAACATCTGTCGAGATCGCAAACTCCACCGGGATGGACAACCGAAGCAATTCGAGCAAGACTACAACACAATGTTTATCTGGAATCATCATCTGCTTGGTCCGGCAATGGAGTCTCTCAAGAAACCCTATGACTGGTGTTTGCCAATCATCCATGGATACGTTGACCAATCGAAGATGTCGGTATATGGGCGTCTGGTATACATCACCATCATTGCACGCCGGTCCCGGTTCTTTGCTGGAGCTCGCTTTCTGAAACGAGGTGCCAACGACCTGGGTTATGTGGCCAACGACGTCGAGACTGAACAAATTGTGTCGGAGGCGACCACGACCTCGTTCCACGCCGCTGGTCCACATCTCTATGCCAACCCGCAATACACTTCGTACGTCCAGCATCGCGGGAGCATTCCCCTCTACTGGACGCAGGAAAGCTCCGGCGTCTCACCAAAACCAGACATTGAGATGAATCTCGTGGATCCGTTCTACTCGGCAGCCGCTTTGCACTTTGACAATCTATTTGAAAGATATGGCGCCCCGGTCTATGTTTTGAACCTCATCAAATCCCGAGAGCGAACGCCTCGCGAGTCTAAACTACTCAAGGAATTTACGAATGCTATAACCTATCTCAACCAATTTCTCCCAGACGACAAGAAGATCATCTACCAGCCTTGGGACATGAGCCGTGCTGCCAAGAGTCGTGATCAGGATGTCATTGGGATTTTGGAACATATTGCGGGCGAAATCATACCCAAGACGGGCTTCTTCCAGAATGGATACGATGCCGAATCAGGCTTGAGGCTTCAAAACGGGATCGCGAGAACGAACTGCATAGACTGCCTGGACCGCACCAACGCCGCCCAATTTGTGGTAGGAAAGAACGCGCTGGGGCACCAGCTCCACGCACTGGGCATCATCGAAGGGACAACAGTCGAATACGACACGGATGCCGTCAATCTCTTCACCGACATGTGGCATGACCACGGCGACACCATTGCCATCCAATACGGCGGCTCTCACTTGGTCAACACGATGGCCACCTATCGCAAGATCAACCAGTGGAGCAGCCACTCGCGCGACATGGTAGAGAGCTTCAAGCGGTACTACAACAACTCGTTCCTCGACGCCCAGCGCCAAGAGGCATACAACCTGTTCCTGGGCAATTACGTCTTCTGTCAAGGCCAGCCCATGCTGTGGGACCTATCAACAGACTACTATCTACACCACTCGGACCCCCGCTCCTGGTCGACCATGAAACGGCCAAACTATATCCGCTGGTACACGCCTGCTCACCTCGAGGAACGGGAACTGCCACCGCCGCCGCGGATCCCCGCGGAACCCCTCTCCAGGTACGACGACTACTGGCTCGAGTACTACCGCCCACTGGCAGTCTCCTCGTTCTCCAAAGTCTTCTCCTACAAGATGAAGTCCTCCCCTCAATACCTCCCCCTCCGACCCACACCAGGGACCCTGAACGAGCTCAGCCCCTTCGTCGTCCGCATCCCCCACGAACAGCAAGCAAACCAAGACAGACACCATCCCCATCCCCCAAGGATGGTCAAGATCCAAGAACCCGACCCCAGCGCCAGCTGGTCCAAGAACCCGCCCCCAACAGACAAACAACGACCCGCCAACGGGATCATGAAACCCACAACCACAACCACCAGCACCACAATCCACTCCATGGGCGCAACCCCCTCCTCCTCCAATAACAACAACAACAAACCCACCACCATAGACTCCAACACAACCACAGCAACAACCACACCCAGCAAAGCCCAATTCGCCCAATGGACCCTCAACCACCTCGTAACAGACTCCCTCAACCCCTCCGTCACAAGCGCCGAAGCCGAAGAATACGAGCGCTACATCAACCACCCACTGCGAGTCCCCCTCGTCGTCTCATCCGAGGACGAGCTCACCGCGACGTCCATCCGCGAGAACGCCACGAACCTCGATCTCCTCGAGTACGCCAACAAGTGTAACATCGAGGAGGGCGCGCTGGAAGCCAACGCCGAGGAGAATCTCGCTGATTATAGCGAGTTTTTGAATGTCTCAGATGGTGGGCTTACCGTTGTTGCGGAGGACTATGAGAAGAAGAGATATAAGCGGTATCGGCAATGGTTGAGGGGTAAGAGCTTGTTTAAGCAGCGGGTTGATGTGTAAATGATTGTTTTGTGTCCATCGTTGGAATTTCTACTTTGTACATCTATCCTGATTCCATACTTACGACTTAACGAGCTTTTCAATAAACGATACCCATGACAGATATGATTGATCCACGGATATTTCTACCAGTACAGTCAATTACCCCAATAGCAGTGATACAATCTACCACCCGAAAAAAACAAAGGAGTAAAACACCATGACACCGGCCATACTAGACCGATGCGTAATATGCCCAAAAGCCCCCCACTCAAGGATCGATACCAAAGAACTCCGCATCGTGAGCATCGATATTTTCAGTTAGCAGTCTGCCCAGAGCCTCATCGGCGTCGACGAGTTCTTGCATTTCGCTAGCGATGCGTTCCTTGGCGACTGTCTGCCCCTCAGTGCCGTCCACCTCCCACGGATGCTCAAGGACAAATTTCAGAAGATAGGACACACCGCGGAGCTCTTTTTTGAGACGCTTGAGCTCGCGGGCCCTAATTTCATCCAGGGTGTTCTTGTGGCCTTTCTGGGCTCGCTCCGCAATTTCTGCTTCCTCATTGAGCACGTTCAGCCAGCAATAACACAGCCCCGCTAGGAGCTCGCCGCGCCAGCGCCAGAGACGGGGGTGTGCGTTGAGGACGGCAACGCGGGCAACGGCGACGGCAGCGAGGAGGAGAGGCGGGTGGGCAGTGGCGAAGGGATTCGTCAAGGTGTTGTAGATGGGCGGGATGACGTCCTGGAGATATTTGGTGCTGTGGATGCCAAGTTCCTGCAGCGCGGCGGAGGTCTGGTTGAGTAGGACGGTGGAGAGGCGTGGATATGGGAAGGAGGCTCCACTGCCTGAGATGGTTGTGGTGTTGGTGGAGCTCACGTGGGTGAAGGAGGCAAGAAGATTCTCGCGCAGAGTGGTGGCTAGGCGTTTGGTGTAGGCTTCTTCGGCCTTTTTCTTTGCGTCGCTGGTGGCTGGCGAGAGGTTCTGGAGCTCGATTGCCATGATGGAGAAGAGGGCCGGGTAGGCTGCGCTGAGGAGCTGAATGGAGTCGTTCTCTGGGGTGATGGTTGGTAATGATAGGAGACAAGGCCGGATGGCGTCCTCAAAGACGGAGGCGAGGTTTGTTCGTTGGAGAATGTCGGAACTGCTGTCCTTTATGGAAATGAGCGTTTGGGAGAGAAGCGTGCAGCCAGAGGTTTTGTTGGCGACACTGTTGTCATCAATGAGGGCTAGAAGTGGAGGTACCACAAGGGGAAAGTGCGCCTCAAGATGTATACGGTCCGTGGACTGTTGACTCTAGTTAGGAAGGTGTTTCTCGCTTGGGAAGGAGTGCATGGCAACATACATGGTACTGGGCAATCACCCAACTGAGCACTGTCGTGGCGTAGACTTCACGGACCTTCCATGGTTTTACCTCGTCGTCTAAAAAGCTGGCATCGAACCGGGATAGAGGGACTGGATGGAAATTCTTTCGACCAGCCGCGGTGATTGCAGGGTTCTTGGTCTTGGCAAAAAGAAGCCTGATTCTGTCCCTGAGGATGCGTTCGATAATGGACCAGAATGATGTGGGTGACTCTGCTCGCGCTGTTTTGCTCGCATCTTCTAGGATCCTCGTTGCTGTCCCATAGACCTCTTGTGCGGTCCAGGGATCAGCTTCCGAGGTATAGCTTGCCAAAGCAATGAAGATATCAACTGGGTTGGCTGCTTTGTGGAGTGGGAGCAGAGAGGATAATGAAGCAATGACTGAAGTCGAGAGATTGGCTACAAGCCTGCTCTGTTCGATGGATCTCTTGTCCCCTGTTGATGGCCTGTGAGTATTCGCAAGGCGGTCACTGAGGGTGTCTCATCTCACCCTCTGTCTCATCTGGATTCTCGGTAGACACCGGCAACGGTAGCGCGGCTCTACTTGCCCAGTCATATAAATTGTTCACGAAACCAGCATCATCGCTAGATAACCCCGTCGAAGACCTGAGTTCCAGGAAGCTTTGAATGACGAGGAGGTTTTCGCATACCTGGAGTCTAGTCAGTCATGGCCCTAGTCATGTCACTGATCGACTCGAGAGGACTCTTGTCTCACCTGCGCGGTATCTGCCTCATTGTGAGAAGAGATATCCATCCATAGTAGGTCCAGACTGGTGGGGATTTGGAAACTATCCGGTTGATATTGGAAGAGAGGTTTCTCGGAATCGCGCTGGAGGGCCTCACGTGCCGCTCGGCGAAGGTTGTCCATCACAGAGTCTCGATAATCACGAGATGGCAGTAGCTAGAGGATATATTCCACAATCACGACCTGCCGATCATGAACAAGAGACACAAAAGAGTGGAGTACGAGTGAGGTGAGAGAAGGAAAGGAACGGGAATGGAAAATGCGTAGTTATTAACCTCCGGTGGCTGCGGACTGGAACTCCGGAGGGTATAAAGACGTCAATCATAGATGACATTAACCTCTATAATTCTTCCAATTCAGAAAGCAAATTATGATTAAACAAAAGGCATAACAAGTAACATGTAACTGCGCACCCACTGTGGGGTTCGGGTGGAAAAAAAAGAAAAAAAAGAGTCATTATCCCCCGAGCCGGAATCGAGCCAGCGACCTTCTGATGACAGGTATTTCCATTACAGTCAGACGTGATAAACCAACTACACCATCAGGGGTTGACGTTGACAACCTTTCTTCTTTTGATTTCATGTACCACGCATTTTAGATTGATTGGACAAATATACAGCATAAAAGAGAACCCTTGTAGTGGTATTGAAGGAGATGAATGGGATACTATGATTATTTCATAATCACAATTGTAAGAAATTACTCTATATGTACATCACGGTCATCACACGCCATCGTTCCCTACGGAATCCCAAGCTCTTCCTTGCGCTGTATCAAATGCTCCAGCGCCTTTGTCTTGTCGGTCACCTCAGGATGGAGGAGCTGCCACTGCATGGCCATCTCCAGGGCCTGGCCCAGCCACTGTCCTTTGAGACCTCCGAAGGCCTCCATGACGTCTTTGCCATTGACAATGGGTTTGAGCTCACAGACGCCTTCCAGGTCATGTGCGACGATATACTCCAGAAACTGGTCATATCCTTCGATGACTAGGAACGACACGAGTTAGTGTCTGGATCGACGGTCAGAACAAAAGAAAAGAAGGGATCACTTACCACTAAGAAACGGGGCCCCTTGCATAATTTCTTGGAGAATCGACATGACCATACACAGTTTCCAGTCCTTCTTCCACGACCGCAGATGCAATCCGATCTGCTGGCGGACTTGTGCCGGCGTTCCCTCCATCTGTCCCGCCAGCAGCGAGTTTTTCACATGGATGATCGATTCGAAACTTTGAGTCGCCTCGGATAAGAGGGTGGTGGTCTTGTTGTCCGAGCGCAGGCTATCTCGAGCGACCTCGACCGCCCGTGGGGGAAACGGCTTAGCTTTGGGTCCCTGTGGGACGCGCCTGGGAACAGTCGACCAAGGCGCCAGAGCCGCAATGATCCATGCGTAGTATGCGTCATGCTCATCCTGGATGAGACGGTGGCGAAGCCGATCCACGGACTCTGGCTGATCGCGGAGTTGCAGGAGATTCTGGAGGGCGTCGTAGGCCAGCGACCAGTTTGACGTGTCGACCGTCACATCGTCCTGGTGGTTCGCGAAGATAGTGGTATAGAGCCCGAGACGGTCGATTAGGCCTAGAGCACCGCGGGGGTCCGGACCTGATACGGGTCAGGACATTGGCTTGATTGAATACCCTGCAGGGAGATCACGTACCTTTGAGCATCTTTTCTAACTCTGTGCCCACACGCTCGCGACTGATCTTCAGCTTCAGCGCCTCACGGATGTCCGCATTTCCCATTGCTCGCTCGGTTTCCGAGTCGATACGATACCCCAGTCGGCTTGCAAAGCGAATCAACCGGAGGACGCGCAGGGGGTCATCCCGGAAGGTCTGGTATGGTTCTAGTGGAGTACGGATGACTTGATCCCGTAGATCGTCAAAGCCTTGCCCGGTCATATCCTCCACCACGGACTCGTTCAAGTTGTAGAAAAGGGCATTAATCGTGGCGTCGCGGCGCAGGGCATCCTCCTCCGCGGTGCCGAATTCCATCTGCGGATTCCGGCTATCCTCCGTGTAGGTCTCCTTGCGCAGGTTGACCAAGTCGACATCGAGCCCGAAGATTCGTGTAGTCACCGTTTCCAAGTGTTTCGATTTCTCGGGGTTGGCGCCAATCTTGTGCAGGCTGACGATGGAGTTCTTCAGCTCGCCCGTGGGATGGTTCCTCTTGTATGCCTCGAGACGAACGGGATCATCCAGGTACTCCTTGAGTAGCAGCCCGAATTGATACCCCGTCATGTTGTTAATCCCGACGTCGATGTCCTGGCTGTCCACTCCCAACAGTTTGTCCCGTACCCAGCCGCCTGTGAACCGGAGGACAGTCCGAGGCGCGTCGACCTCGGTGGTCCCTTTCGCAATAGCCTGCTGTCGGATATATTCCGCCACATCGAGCAAGAGCGTCCGCAGGGTGTTTTCGATGGGGGTCAGCTCCAACGTGGGGGTCGGTTGGCCCATGGTGGAAGGATGCGGGGAGACTCTCGCGGATACCCGTCGTATCTTGCAAGGGCGTTCGGAAGAAGAATTCGGGGAGGACCGCCGTCGCATAGAATAGTTCCGCACGAGTGGATTAGATCCTCGACGTACCGGAAAGGATCCTAAAGAAATATGATCGCGGGGTATAGGAGAATACGAAAGTCGTGGTAGGTGGAGACGGAGGGGAAGACGGTTAGAAAAGAAAACGCGAGGCTGCGGCCGGGGCATGGATCTGTGACGCGCGCATGAAGGGACACGGAGAGAAGGAAGACTTTATAAAAAGACCAAACGTTTCATCAACATGAGAAGAAGAGAAGTATGAGTCAAATCCATGACTCCGAACTGGTCATCAAAATATCGTCCATGTAAATCCCATCATACCAGGGCTCACCGCCTGCGGAATCCAGCCGATCCTCTATCAACTCTCTTGATCAGTCGAGATGATCATGATGTTTGATGCGACAGGAAAAGAGGAGGATTAATTTTCAGTTGATCAATAATACAGACTCCTCTGATCAGTTCCACTTGATCATCATTGCTGATCATTCTACCTCATCCTGACCTCACATTGGGAATTGCTGTGGAACCGTGACTTGGTTAAGGAGGTGTTGTTCCTTTGGTCTGACTTGGCTTGTTCTGATTATTGTTCCTCCATCCTCTCCTCCACCCTATTTCGACCAACTTCAATCCCCCTCCTTTCTCCGACCTATTGCATCTATTCGCACGGAAAAATTATACAAACGAAATAAAGCAGACGAAACAAAAAGAAGGACAGGAGGCAAAAAAGAAAGTGACAGCCCACCCGTTCATGCGCCCTCCAACCCTCCCCTTTCTCCCTGTCACTTGCTGGTCCGAACCCCCTCGGTGTCCATGACATCGCCCGGAGATGCTGCTCCGGTCAAACCTCCGCCGTCATTTTCCCCCGGCGTAGCGCGGGCCTCCTCCACTTCCAGATACTCGACTCATGCGTCGCAGCGTCGCGATTCCGTCCAGTCTCTAGACTCGAACCATGTCGATCCGTCCGTCGGCCCATCCCCCCCGCCGCTGTCCGCCACGACGGAACTGCCGATCCGCTCTGCGTCACCCTACGCCCGGTCGCTAAGGTCGTCGACACCCCAACTCAATCGGTCTTCCTTGGCTTCCCCAGACGGAGGACGGTTCGAAGGGGCAGAGGATGTGCGTTCGTTGATTATCCGGGCCTTTTCTCCCGTGGTCGGGGTCTATGCGTCGGTCGATACGGATGACTTGGTCCACCAGAAGGGCTTCCCGGGTGGTTTCTGGGGGTTAATACGGCCGTTTGGGGAAGATGTCCCGGGGAAGATCGTGATTCGAGATAGTGTGGGGTCAAGTCGTGGATGGGAAGACTATGGGGTTCGATTTGTGGATTTGGGCGGCCAAGCGCGGTACCCTCCGGATGCGACTCCGGGGCAACCCCCTCCATTGACGCAGATTGACGAGGCATTGACCAAAGATTTGGAGGCCGCAGAGAATCCGCTGGCCCGGACATTGCGCCCAAAGGACTTGGCCGGGGCTTCGACGATTTCTCCGTTATACAAGGACTTCCTGCACCAGCTCCTGTCGATCCCATCCGCAACGCCCCATGAAACGTTTCGTCACCCGGTCGCAAGTGTCATCGCCATTAGCTCTCGAAATACCAGCCCGTTGGAGACTCTCCGGCAGCTGTATGCGGACACGACCAACGGAGATCGACGGTTACCGGAGTGGATCCATCCCGAGTACCTCCGCTACTATGTGCTTGTCCACGACGAGGACCGCGACGACATCGCCGAATCGACCAAGCTGTACGACCAGATGAAGCGGCATTTTGGCCTGCACTGCCATCTCCTCCGGCTCCGCAGCAACCAATGCGTCGTGACCGATGATGACAGCGTCGAAGTGCCGGAATGTGAATGGGTCTCGCCCGCGGAGCGTCTCTCAGGCAGCGCAGGTAAGCAATCCATTGCCGCCCTTGCCGTCGAGGGGCTTGACTATGGGTCCTAATGAACAACAGAGCCACTCGTCGACCTAGATACGGATGGTCGTCTCTACCTCTTCGAGTCGGATGTCATGGCGATCAAGGCCTTCGTACGGGAGTTAGTCGCGCAGTCGGTAATCCCTTTCATGGAAAATCGCGTGGCCGTCTGGAACGACCAAGTGGCATCTCGAAGACGCGGTATCAGCGGTCGCTTCATGTCCATGTCGCGAAGATGGGCGGGGTTCGGTTCCAGTTCGCGATCCAGCCTGACGGGATCTGCGGGCGGGGTGAGTGGGAACTATGATGGCGCTCGCGGCTTCTACCGACCCGACGTCCCGGAGGCCGTTCTGCGAAAGATGGCAGACTTTGCCTTTATGCTGCGGGACTGGAAGCTGGCCGCCTCCACATACGAACTGATCCGGTCCGACTACGCCAACGACAAAGCATGGAAATATCATGCGGGGGTTCATGAAATGTGCGCCATCAGTTTACTCCTGAACCCGGTCTCCATGCCCGCCAAGACCAAACTCGGGGATATCGACCAGATGTTGGACACCGCCTGTTACTCGTATCACACGCGATGCTCCGACGTGCCGAATGCTCTTCGCTGCCTTACCCTGGCGGTGGAACTGCTGAAGTCACGCGGCGGCTTGGCCACGGAAAGCGCGGCTAGGTGGGCCATGCGGGCCATGGACTTGGGCCTAGTCGGTTCGATCGGTCAAGTATTGCTCAGCGAGCGCATATCAGCCTGCTACGCGTCGCGGCCACCTCTGCCCGGTGTCAGGTGGGGTGCGCGGTACCGCAAGGCTGGGATGTGGAGTGTTCTCGCGGCTGATCTCTGGCTCCAACTCGGCCAACCCTCGCTGGCCTCTGCCTGCCTTGAAGAGGCGGAGCACCTATATGCCAGTGTCTTGGACCGAAACGAAGGCGTGTTCCCCATGCCCGAGATGCAGGCATTTGTCGATAATCTTCGCCACACCATTCAGGTGGAATATCTCGAGGCAAGAGGCCTGAACACGCAGGAGTCCCTCGACGCGGTCCCCCCGATGGACACCCAAGAGACTAGCGAGAAGCTTGACAAACGCCAGCATCGCCGGTCCCTG